GCTGGTGGCACAGGGGTAGGATGTGCCCTTCGCCCTCTATCCCTTAACTCCTCAGCATGGCGGAGGAGCGTGGGGGGAGTATATTTGCGTGCCCTTTCCTAGCTCTGGTGAGCATCAGCGCTTATTCTTAGCACTAACTCGCTCTATTTATAGACCCCCCAAGGTAATTTTTCCTCATTAGTGAGGCCACAAACTGCGCTTCGGCCTTGCGGGGGATCCAGGAGCTCCTATGTGGCGCAGGTGTGATGAGAGGGAGGAAAACGTGGTCCTCGACCTCTCCAGGAGGGATCTGCTGACGCTGCTCTTCCTGCAGCTCTGTGACCCCTCGCGTAGGAAAAACTGCTCTATGCTGACATGTGCCTAAAATATAAGGCTCAAAAATCCTTTGATAATCCCTTTTATTGGAAGGGTTTTCCGAACACTGAGGCTTAACAAGTGCAGACCCTCCCTAATTGACACATATCTATTATCTAAACGACTTTGTTAGTAGACCAAAGCACTGGGGAGGTGTGGTGGCTTGGCAGAGGGATGTGCAGTGACTCAATAATGAAGCTGGGATCGCCTCGGAGCCTCCTCATCGCTGCTTTGAAGAAGGGCAATGAAGCTGGTGAAGGGTCTAGAGCACAAGTCTGATGAGGAGTGGCTGAGGGATTGTTTAGTGGGGTTGTTTAGTCTGGAGAAGAGGAGACTGAGGGGAGACCTCATCGCGCTCTACAACTACCTGAAAGGAGGTTGTAGTGAGGTGGGGGTCAGTCTCTTTTCCCAAGTAACAAGCGATAGGACGAGAGGCAATGCCTCAAGTTGCGCCAAGGGAGGTTTAGATTGGACGTTAGGAAACATTTCTTCACTGAAAGAGTGGTTAAACATTGGAACAGGCTGCCCAGGGAAGCGGTGGAGTCACCATCCCTGGAGGTATTTAAAAGATGTGTAGATGTGGCACTTAGGGACATGGTTTAGTGGTGGACTTGGTAGTGTTAGGTTAACGGTTGGACTTGACAATCTTAAAAGGTCTTTTCCAAGCTAAATGGTTCTATGGTTCTACGCTTTGTGTTTGGGGCTGGTGGTGGCTGTGCTGGGCTACGTGTGTGAGACCGTAGAGACCCTCAGAGACTGCTCTGAAAAGATACCTGGAAATAAAATTAGGATTTTTTAAAAATTAGGATCCAAAAACAATAATTCAAGCATCTGCTTTCTGCACACAAAAAAGAGCGTAAAGGGGCAAAAGGTGGCTGGCAGCACTAGTGCAGTGTGTTAAGGGTCTGTTAGTGAGTCTGTGGTTCAGACCTGTGTTGAGATGTCCTGCGAAATCACTTTTGTTACTGACTTTCATGAGGATTGAGGGAGACTGTTTTAAGTTCTTCCTTCCAGCACCGGTTATCAGAAATGTGGCCTGTGCGAGACTGCGTGGAGCGATCGTCCTCATTGCAGCGCGAGGAAAACCAGTGCTGTGGTGCTGTCAAACTCCTGTGGCACCAGTGATTAACAAGCGCTGTCTTCTTCTCCTTAGGTCTCATAAACGACCATAAAAACACACACGGGGATGCACCGCGGCCACTGCCATCCGCGCCGCCGAGGTGGAACAACCCCCGCCAGCCTGCCTTCAGCCGGAGGGGGGCATTTTCGGCCAGGTACCCCCAGCAGGCTCCCAGGGATTTCCAGCTGTGCCAGGGTCACTCCTGGAGGAAAAAATACTCCCTCGTCAACCGCCCGCCGGGATCGGCATGTGACGTTGGAAGCGGTGAAAGTGCCAGCACGTCTCGGGCTTTCGGAAGCCATGGGGACAGCCAGGCACCCGAGCCACCAGAATCATCCCCAGAGAGACACGTGGACTTAACCACAGATGGTAATATTGTTGTGGGGATCCAGCTGCCACAGAGGGCTGGCCCGTTCGTAGATATGAAAGGTTTTGCTGATGTGGGTTCTTACTGTGAGTTTTCTGGGCTGAAAACGGTGGTCGCTGCTTCAGGTGACAGTAAAAATGTGCAGAAATCTCTGTACACAAGCCAAAATGAAGAGAGAAGACCCTCTCTCTCCGTTTCGTTTAGTTCATCTCACCGGTTCGTGAGTTCAGCGTACGTGAGCGTGTCGGATAAGCCTAGAATGGTGCGTCTGGCCGGCGACGTGGCCGGGAGCTTCCCTGCCTCCTGCGGAAGCTCCAGCGAAAGTGCCGTGACACTGAAATCGGAGCCGCAGGAGCCTTCGGTGTTGCCAGATCGCATGCCGGCTCGGCACTTGGTACAGAGGAAGGCAGAACTGCCAGCTCCAGGGCAGTCTAGTTGTGAGCAAGTCAGGGATGCTTTCAGAGAGCCGAAGCTCCTTGGAAATGGTGAGATGTGCTCTAGACCTGCTCAGGCCGCGACTTTGGTGGTTGGGGTGACTCCAACGAAGAACAGGTTTTCAGTAGTCCCCAAAGTTGCTGGTCTCCAAAGAGCTGCCTCAACATCTGTCCCCAGCAAAGCTCTGAAGTTCAGGAAAGCTAATTACACGTGGGTCGCAAACCCTGGCAAATGCTCTCGTCCTGTGAAGAGATGGGTCAGCCCTAGAGCTTCTGAAAGTGCTAAGAAGGTTGCCGGTGGAGCAGACAGAGGTGCTAAACTATCGCCAAAAGCAGACTTGGGAGCAAAGCTGAAGAAATCGGGACTGCAGTCCAAACTGGGTGTTTCTCCCAGCAAGTATAAGTGGAAAGCCTCCAGCCTCCAGACCTCACCGTCCACCTCCAAGTCAGCGTTCAGGTGGCGATCCGAGGATCAGAAAAAGCCTCCAGCCCCCAGCCTCCCTCGAGCTGGTGTCCCACTGCCTCCGAGTGCTGCGTCTGTTGGTCTCGGCGAGGTGAAGTCCTCCTTCGGCGATGCCACGCTCTCCAGTTATAAAGTGAAGAGTCGGACAAAAATCATCAAGAGAAAAGGAAACTTGGGGTAAGTTGCTGGTCATCTTCAGAGCAGCGGCATTGCGCTGGTTGTATTTCCTGTCCATTGGCTTCACGTTAAGTCATGGCTATAAGTGAAATTCCAGTGAGGGTTGTTGTATGCTGGTAGGTATATTTGCCTTTCTCTTTCCAAGTGTGGTGATTTTGTTCTGTCTGGAGGCATCCCGCTTTCCAGGGTTGGAAGGCCTCAAGTTTTAATTGGTTTAGCAGTCTGTGTAACTCTGACTTTAACCTTTGAAATTGAGCTGGGTTTTCTTCTCATCTCCCATCCCTGTTCTCCAAAGATTTTGCCACAGCACTTAGGAAACTCCTTCCTGACCTGAATAAGGCTAATATTCAAGAGAAGGAAATAGCTGTCTTCCTTGCTCCTGGGGTCTTGTGGAGCAAGTTCTCCCCCCTGGCCCTGTCTCATAGGGACAGTGTACAATGGGAAGGTTATAAATGAAACTTGGCGGAAGAAGAAGGTGTGTGGGCCAAGTTATCTGCAAAAGAGGCTTGCACCGGGCTGGGAGTTGAGGGGAAACAGATAAGAGATTGGGACCAAACTTTTTCTGAAAGCCGGTGTGTTGTGGAAGTGCTGCTTCATTACGTTGTGCTCCCGGTGGGAAAGCTGTTTTGTGCTGCTTTTCTCGGCAGGGCTGGATGCAAGCCCAGCCTGTGCTGCAGGGGAGGGATAAGAGGGATGGGGTGAGGGCTGGTGGCACAGCTGTGTGAGCTCTACTCTACCACTGAACTCGGAGATGCCCTCAGCGTAGTGGACATGTGGTTTGGCTCCTTTGTCACTGCAGTAACTCCAAGCCTGAGCTCTTTAAAATTGAGGACTGTGGCCTAAATAACTATTTTAAGTGACGCAATATGCTAGTAACACAGCACCGATTGAGGATCTGGTGCCTTGATTCCTGCTTCTGTTTCCAAGACCCTCCGCTCAGCACTTCACCGCAGGTTTCCGTCCTTGCCTTGCCCTCCTGGTTTGCTGGGGGATGTGTCTGCGGGTGGGTTGTGTTGGGAAGATCACTCTGGAGCAAGGTGCTTGGAGAAGCTGGGATTGTATTGGATTTTTGGCAGATGAGACCCCCCCTTCATCTTGCTAAAGGACAGCAGCCTCTCCCCTGCATCTGTTGAGCAGAAAGCAGAAGGGAATGAGTTGAGTTAGGCTGTCAAATACCTCATTCTCCGTCTGTACTTTGCCAGAAATTCATCACACTTGCCTATTTTCTGTTCAGTGCTTCTTCTCACCCTCGGGTAGGGGAGCAGAGTGGAGCTTGGTGACCCAGCTTCTCTCCTCAGGTCTGGGCAAGGGGACCAAGTGCGTTTCAGTCATCTCTCTACCCTCTTGTAACTGTGTGGTGTTCTTCGCAGTTCCCCGACAGATAAGAAGAGCAGCTCCTCGCCCACCGCACCTCTGAAAAGCCACTTCCATCTCAGGAAGAAAAACTCCTTGCGGGGGAAACCTTCTGCGACCCCGAAACGCTCCTCGCCCAAGGGCCTGGTGCAGATCACCAAGCACAGGCTCTGCAGGCTGCCGGCCGCCAGGATGCAGGTCTCCACCAAGGAAGGTAGGAACAGCCGTCCCAAGGGGTGACTGATGGTGCTCGCTGACTGTGTGCCGGTGAAGCGGTTCCAAGGGAGGCTTTTGGATTTGGAAATGGGTTACCAGATCCTCCAGGAGGTGAATTTGCTGTTGTTGGTCCTGGAGCAAACATTGAGGAGCAGAACTTTGGCTGGAGTGAGACTTCTGTTTTACCCCAGAGCAGTCTTGTGCTTTGACATCTCCAGACAAGGCCATTTTAAAGCTGCTTCTTGCTTTTAATGTGGTTTTGCTGGACTTACAGGCATCAGATAGGAAGGTGCTCAAGGAAGGAAGAGGATGGCAGAGGCAGTAATACATTTATAAGACTAATCTCTCTTTTTGCACTGTGCAAAAGCTTGTGTATGTCATGAGATACTCCTGTAGCAACTACAGACCTACTTAATGCACCTGTATCCCAGTGCAATGTCTGCAGGCGTTTAAGTTTTGTATGTAACTTGCTTAAAATTGCAATTGTTAGAGGAATACTGGGTCCATCATGTTTGTGAACAGGTAGTTTGCATCCATGTCCTGCTGCCTTGGGTTGGCAATGTTTAGAGCAGAAATCAGCTGCTTGGGGCTTGGGAGAGCTGCACCTACGCACACGTGAAATGTTTTCGTGATGTTTCTGGCTTGAAGTCTGGTTCTGCTATTCAGTGGTGAAGTTATCGTGGACAAGTGGCTTCACCCCCCTGAGATTCAATTTTCTCAAATGTATATGAAGCACATTTTGTTTATGTTTCTGTGCTGTGCTTGTTCACGTACAGCAGGGTGGCCAGTGATGCTATGGTAGGCGTCACTTGAGTGGGGAGGGCTCTTTGGGCCACGATGTAGCTGCGATCTGCCTCCAAAGGTAAAGCTGTTGAGCCTCTGTTTTCAGGAAGACAATTCTCTGGTTTCCTGCTCTGCGCTTCAACTACCGAGTTTACATGTGTGATGATAGTTATTTTGCGTTCAGACAAATAGCTCTGTGTTGAGATGTTGCTGTGTTTTGACAGATGAAAAGACAAGAATGGAGGCTTGCAGTTCAGGAAAGGGAAAAGCTTTTTCCGGCAGGAGAAGAAAAAGATTTTTCTCTTCACATGTGTGTGTTTGAAGAGAGGTTTGGAGGGATGGAGGGGATGCTGGGAGGAGAATTTTGGATCTGGTGCTTTAGGAGGCGGGCAGTGACTCATGGGATAGGCAGGAGCAGGGAGAATAAGATGTGCATTTGTGCAGTTGCATTGATGGTCCAGCATTCAAGCAGTTGCCTGACTTTGGGGCTGAGTCTTCCTCCATTTAAGGATGTCAGCAAACCCTTTAGCGTCTGGAGAGGCATGAAGGCTGCACCTCCATACACCCTGTGTTGGAAGTTTTCATGTAGTGCATGAAGGCAGCAGGTCTTGGTCGTACTTGTGTGTGGTTGCTCTTCTGTGATCTCTGAAACCAGAGGTGGTGGATACAGTACGTGGCCAGATCCAGCTGTGGTGGTGATGTGGGGGCAACAAGGCTTTTCTTCCTTGGGTGATGGTGATGTGTGGGATGTGGAATGCAGCCCTTCAACCTCCCAAGAAATGTCCGCTGCCTGTTCTGGGGTGAATTTAGGACTCAGACCTCACAAACTGCGTGGTCGGGACCTTTCTCCAGTGTGGCATGTCCAGTATGAGTCATCGAATAAGTCATTATGCTGTAAAGCTCCTTTTTAAAGAACTTACTGTGCTTGCTGAGAGCCTGATATGAGCAGCTCTGCTGTGGCTCTGCAGATGCAGAGGAATTTGGGGTTGCAACAGCATTTTACATATGAGGAAATTGAGACACAGCTGGTTACAGGGATATAAGCTGTTTGGGTGATCCAGGAACAGACCTGAGGTTATACCAGATCCTTGTTCTCCATGTAGCTCCGTGTTTACACCTGGGTTTGTGCAGAGCAGTGGCATTGCTGTGGTTTGCTCAGCTGTGTGTGTTGTAGAGGAGGTCACAGCACTGAAGCTGCTGCCTTGGGAAGATTCCTAGCACCCATTGAAACTCGCTTGACTTGGCAAACTCTCCTCTTTTTAGAAGCTGTCAGTAAAAACTTGTGCCCAACCAAAGCAAAGCTTCACATAGGTTAAGAATATACAAAATGGATCAAAATCTTCTGCCCCCCTGGGAGCCTGACTGGCAGCTGCCAAAAGCCCGTGTCTTTTGGAAACGTATTCTGAATCCTAGTTCCTTGATTGAAGGTAAAGTTCCCGTACTGAAAAGATTTTTCATCTTAAACTGCGTAGGGCTGAAAATACATAGATAGAGCAGGTTGTGCTCCTGGCTTTGATTAAAGTAGAAGTTGGCAACTAAAAAAGTTTAGAGAAAGTAGAAAAAATGGAAAATAGGTCTGGAAATGACTTTTGGAGAGCATGTAGTTCACTCCCCTGTCCAAAAGTGGATCGAATTATCAAACCAATCCTGGTAGATGCTAGCCAAACCTAGCACAGATGAAACCTGGGTTTATAAGAGTTGTGAGTTGTCTGTGTTGAAGTGACTTACGTTATTTTCCAGCTTGGATCTGTGCACTTCGCAGTCTTAGCTTAGAGATGTGGAAACGAGTATCTGCTTTAATAAAACTTGGTGACCATGCCTTACGGCTTTTTCTTTGCAAACTGCAGTACCTGCTGTAAAAATGTGTCTTGATTTGGTTCTTAAAATGACTAAAAGCAAAAGGAAATGTCCTTCCTGCCTTTTCCTGTGTGTATACGTGTGTGTACACATGTGAGACTACTCTTCCTCACTTCATAAATGCCACAGATCCTTCTTTTCCCTGTGCCTCGCTGTGCTAGTGGGAGCACGGACACTGATGCCTTAGATGGTGAATTAAAAATGCTTCCCCACCATAATTATGAAATGGCTTCTAAATTTCTTTCTTGCTTTCTGCAGTGGAGAGGAATTATACTCCAGTAGATGAGCCATTATTTGGACTGGAAAATGGGCTGGTGCATGGCACTGGGATCCATTCACTTGAAGCTCTGGAAGGACTCCTTAGGCTGCCTTTCTCCTCCCCAGGGAGGAGGGTACAAGCTTGTTTCTGCTGTGTTTGCTGCTGCTTTGTCCAGCCACTCTGCAGAGCTGAATTAAATACATCTTTCTGCTAGGAGGAGTTGAGATCTCTTGCTGGGTATGTTTTCTGATGACGTGGTGACTGTGAGAACTTGGCTGTGTGTCCTTTTCCTGGAGAGATTGTCTAAGATGCGACGCAACGATGAAAGTTCGACAGTTCTTGTCACCTTTTCTCTACCGCTTTCCCCTCACTGCTGGGACATCAAGTGCTAAATGCTGATATCATATGGGTAGATCATTGCTGGTAATCTAACCTCTGTTGTACCATCGTCACAGGGGATCCCAAAGGACTTGATTTGCTCCTTCCCGTGCCATTGGCAGCTCTGTGCGGCAGCTGCTGAGCGATGCATGGCTGCTTTGCTTCTCCAGTTAGCAGAAAAATTCAGCGAGAGTCTTGACGGCTTTGAAATTGCAAAATGAATTTTGGCAGGGTTGGTGCTGCTTGCTGAGCATCTGGTTAAGACTGAGGACTAGCAAGGTGCCTGCCCCACACGTTCCTGCTTTTTACCTTCCTCTTGGCGCAGCAGCCTTGCCTGTAGCATGGAGGTCGAGCAAATAAGTCCAGCAGACCTTGACCCTTCATGCTCACCTTCATAATGAGCCTGTGGATTTGGTTCCTTTGATTGGAATTGAGTTTATAGGTTTGAATCCCTTATACCTAAAGCTTTTCTTTTTTTTGAGAGGGTTCAATCCCAGGCAGTGTATTTGCAGCTTCATGCGTTGAACTATTCTCATGTTCTGGGCTTCTACAGCTGTTGAATTATTGCTGGACTGTTCCTACATGTGCTAGGACTGTGTTTTTTTTTTTTGCCCAGGGAAACATGTGTGGTCCGGTACAAAGAGATTGTTAGATGCTGGACAGAGCAGGGACATTTTCAAGGCAGCATCCCAAAGTCTGATGAGAGAGCCTAGCCTCTGATAGGGCTTGGAGCAGCTCAGACATCACTCTCATGTGGTGCCCCTAAATGTACAATTATGTCTATAGTGGTAGGTGTCTTCTGGTTTCACAGCAGTCCTATAGTGAACTGGGAGTAAGTGAAGGCTTATACGTTCAATTCCTGGCTGTCAGGTTATCTGAGAGTTTTTACTTCTCTCTGCTTGTGCAAGGTGAGGGTATTAATCAGGTGGTGGAGTTTTAAGGCTTGCCATTTCTTGCAAGACAAGTGCAAGGGAAGTAGGTGGGGTACAGAGGTGCTACTGGGAGCCTCTGGGAGCAGAGTGGGGCACGAATGGAGCAGTGAGACTGATGTTAAATCTCTGGCTCGATGCCGAAGCAACGCTCATTGTGTCTCTTGCTGGGAGCATACCAGTGACAGTCCTGGGCGAGCCGAGTGGCTTACCTCTGATTAGTTTGTCGTCTTGAGTCTGGACACGCAGAGCCCAGCTAACAAACCGATTAAAAAGCCAGATCGTTTATGCTGGGCTCGTGATCCCACTGGACGGATGTGGTCACGCTGGAGCCTGGATCCGACGGGCGCTCGTGCCTGCATGGTGAGTGAGCATCCAGCATGCCTGCATTCCCAGGGAGCTGCGAGATCCCACATCAGACACAAACTGTGCGTGTGTGTCAGGGCTGAGGATGAAGGACGGCTGGGGAGGAGCGTGCCCTACTTCACGTATTGCACTGTGGGTGCAAAAAGCTGGGTCAGCCCCTTCCTTACCCGCTGATGCGGGCGGCGTTGTGACGCGGCTTTGCTGTTTTCTTGTTTGCCCTGTTAAACAGGCTTTTGGGATACGTGGTAGGAGCTCTGTGGTACGTACCGAAGGCATCGGTCCTGCCTTTCGCAAGTGTGTAACGCAAAGGCTTGTCTGTCTTCTGACTCTGCAGTTACCTTTTTGGACCCAAATGGACCTGAGACTTGGTGTCACATTGGTGTTTCCTCATGGTCTGTATGCGGAGGTTCTTGCCACTGTGGGAAT